CTGGCAGACAGACACTGGCAGACAGACACTGGCAGACAGACAGACCCTGATGGACAGATACTGGCAGACAGACAGACCCTGATGGACAGACAGATACTGGCAGACAGACCCTGACAGGCACATCCCACCTGAAGCTGCTCCACTAGATCTTTGTGGGTTTTCTCCATTTGGTTCATCTTGGTCCTCATCTGGCTCTCCTGGTACTGGAACTCTGCCTTGAGCTCTGTGATCTGCACACACATGTGTTTCAGTCACATGCAGCCGGACCGATCCACCCACATGCCCCGCCATCCGAGCCAAGCCACGCCCCCTCACCACAGCCAGCACCTGCAGATGGTGCCCCCACTGGACTCAATGTCCTCACCCAAGTAAAGAACAAGAACCCACATATACTGCAGAACTGCACCAGCCAAAGGCAGATAAATAAACACACAGACTCACTTTCTTCTCCTTGTCCAGGATGAGCTGGTCTTTCTGGTGAAGAACCTTCTTGAGTGAGGCTACCTCCTCCTTCAGCTGGGTGATGATGACCAGGTGGTCTGTTCCTGGGGAGTCCAGTGCCAGATCCGGGGAGAAGCTGCTCATGGGGAGGACAGAATGACTCTGATCAGGGGGAGCGACACCTCAGCAAGTATAGAACCATCTGGGGATCCTGACTGAGGCTAGACAACAGCATATGACAGACGCACGCACACACACACACACACACACACACAGACAGACACACACACAGACAGACACACACACTCTGGAGCTGCTTACCTGTCTCCATTGGTGGAGATGCTGTCAAACTTGCCCTTCTTCTTGGGGATTTCATTCTGCAGAGAGGAGGTGGACAGAGTCTTCTGGCTGAGGAGATGCAGAGCACAGCTAGAACTTTCTCACCCCGGACCCTAGCGGGTCGTTACACACAGCTGCATGCGTCTGTGCACAAGCGGATAAAAGTACATAGTGCCGGCAGTGAAAACGTTGCCAAAAAGAGGCAGCATCAGCACCACGAGCGCTGAGGCTCAACAAGTGATGCACTGTGCTAAGAATGCAAAGGTCATGGGTTCGAATCCCAGGGAGCACTTGAAAATGAAGTGATGTTTTATTTGCCATTTGCACTTGTTTCACATATCCCACCTTCACTGCTGTCAGGAGGAATCCAGTGAATGCAGTGGGATGGGGTGTGTGTGAGTTAAGCCAGGTCCATGGAGGCCGGCATGTGCGTTACCTGTTATAGTGCGATAGCTGCTCCTTGTGCGACAGGGAGGCATGCGAGGTGCCGCCCAGCTGCTTGTGCTGCTCTCGTGTTTTCTGCAGCACGCGCTTGTAGGACAGAGTGCAGAGCCAGCAGAGCAGCTTCCCGTCCACCTGCGGGGGAGGGAAAGGGGGTGAGGGCCGTGCTGGCTTACAGAGACACACGCAGGCGCCGCGGCTCACCTTCCTGCGGTCGTCCTTTCGGTCGAAGGCGCACTGCTGCTTGCACTGTTCGCACGGCTGCGGCGGCCCGTGCCGCTTCTCCGAGTTGGTGCAGCGCTGGCACTTGTTGCCGATGAAGGCGGCGATGATGTTGCAATACTGACAGGGTTTGGGCTGCAGCCGGCGAGAGCAACAGACACAAACTTCACCTTCATCTTCCTTTCAGCTAACAGAAAACAGACAGACAGCCCAGCTCTGGCTTTTTCAGGAACTGACTGGCAGACAGGCAGGGTGGTACGGCGGCCTGGGGGCCGGCGGCCTGGGGGCCGGCGGCCTGGGGGCCGGCAGCGTAGCCTCGCTCCCTCGGGGCTGCGGTTTGAGCCTCGCCGCAGCCTTTTTGTGGGTGCAGGCTGCATGGTTCCTCTGGGAATTCCGCTTTCCTCCCACCCTCCGAACACATGTGGTTTAGGTAAAACGATGTCTCTGCATCGCCCCCGGTGTGTGACTGTATGTGTGTGCCCTGAGGAGTGTGATGGACTGGCACCCTGTCCAAGGTGTCTCCTCCCTCATGCCCTGTGCTGCCTGGGACAGGCTCCAACATGACCCTGTATGGGATGTTATGAAAGATGGATGGATGGATGGATGGATAAAACACACAACACAGTTGCCTTCAGAGCATGTGTGGTCCAATGAGGGACTGCGAGCCAGGGATACAGTGATTGGCCGAGGCAGTCAATGGGAGGGGCTGGGGGCGTGGTGAAGGCCGGGAGCTACAGGAGGTACCTCCCAGCTGCGTTACACTTCTCTACTGGCGGAGCAACTCACCGTGCCGTACAGCTTGACGTTGTGGGCGCACTTCTTACAGATGGTGTTGGTTTTGCTGGATGCAGCAAAGGATGTAGCAACATAGCAGGAACACAAAGGCAGAGAACACACACAGACACAACACATTAAAACTCGTAAACTCCATTCCTGAGGCGTCGCAATAATGACAGAGCAGTGAAGGGCTCAGGAAGCTGCTGTTCTCGCTTAATGTTCTCCTTGCGAATCCCATCATGCTCGGTGTTGTACCTGGTCTTCAGGCGTGACTGTGACTAGCTGCTCAAACAAGAGGGCAGTGAAGCATGCCGCCCAAACAGGTGACAGTGTCTCTGTCCTTCCCGCAGGTATGTTTACATCACAGTGCAGGCAGAGGTGTGTCAGACCTGCTCGCTGCTACTGTTTGTTTGTGTAGCAACACCAGGGGGGTCGGGTGTGGCCTACCTCTCCTGCTGAAATTCCGTGCGGCAGTAGGTACACTTCACCATGGGATGGGCGATGCGACACTCCTGTGGTACAGAACACACACACACGACTCATCAGAGGTCGTCAGCGCGAAATCAGTGACATCAGCAGCGTTGGATAATGGAAGGTGTAGTCATGGCTCAGGTAGTCAGCTGGTGAGAGGGCTTCAACTCCACGGGAGGCAGAGGGCGGGGCCACCAACCAGAAAAAGGTCAGTGAGCACAGACGCCCATGTGCGTGTGCAGTCAGGATTACAAAGCGGGTAGGACAACGAGTATGTGCTAATACAGGGATTTCCTGTCTCCTGTAAATTAACACCTCCCTGTACCCCTCCCTGATGAGGTCACCCACAAGCAGCAGCACCGAAAGCAGATGGCTGCCCCCCCCCCCTCCTTCCCGGCTGGGCAGCAGAGGGATGCTCTCTGCCATCCTCAGCGGCTATCGGGAGATTGCACAGGTCTAGCCCAAGGGGGACTGTAATCTTTCTTGATCATATGATAACGTCTCGAAAAACCTAAATTATTTACAAAACGTATAAGTTACCATAACAGGGTAATTTTTGGTGAATTTAATTTATCGTAATTTATTATAATAAAAATTCGCACATAGCATAATATTATTACACGCATGTACATTTTCATGATTTAAACTAAGGAATATGCTGCTACCATCGGGATAGATCAAATACCACCTGGTACCATTTAGTCACCGCCGCCAGGTGACATGGATCCAGCATCGCCGTAAACTTCACAGTATAAAGTTGCCTGCCGACGAGGTCTAATGTCGAATGAGCGGCTAAGAACACTTAAATTATCCCGGCTTAATCCCTCATGCAAACCAGCTACATTTAAACCAACAATCGTGTCGTTATGTAGGTGCTGCGTATGGTTGGGCGGGCAGCCCCCGGACACGGTCCCGCCGGCGATCAGCATCCCTGACGCGCTCTCTCGCAGCCCCGGGAGCCGGCGTCCCCGCATCTCCCGAGGCCTTTACCTTGCAGAGCTGTTGACCCTGGGATAGAGCTTCAAACGGGAACCTCTGATTGCATTTCGTGCACGCGTACAGGGCAGCCATGGCGTACGCCAGATCCACGATACGATTAATTACGGAAACACACCGGATGAGCGACCTCCAGATCTAAGCAAGTTCTCGTCAAGATAAAAACCTCGCTGGAGCAAGAACGTAAATCAGACCGAGACTCCTGTCAACACAGGTATAGTTACGGGCCTTACGTCATCGCTTGGATGTGCCGGGTCGGCCGCCCATCTCTCTTCGGGCCCGCCTAATTGGCCAGAGAGCTGGCATGCAGCATGCTGATTGGAGGATGCCACATGCCAATCAGCTGCCGAGCTGCTGAAGTGAGTCTGTGTCACGCGCGTTGAAAGGGTTGGGAGGGGGAGTGAACAGTCTTCGGCCGGTTAGAGAAATTAAATGTCATCCCTTGAATTAAATATCAGTGTCTTAACGCAGGAAAACTCTGCATGATTAGTCCAGAAATAGATCTTGGATGTATTAAACAAGCGGAAGTATATCAAGACTAAAAAACATCATCTCACGCATGGAATAAAACCGCATGCTTTATTTGTATAATGTCAAAACAGGGAACACCTGAAAAAAATCATAAACGTGTAACAGTCGAGGTCACTTGTCACAGCATACTCAATTACGGAGCCATTAGCCTGTGGGAACCCACACACAGGAGCCCGGCGGTCGTGGGATTTATAATTGTAATTTGATCGGAGACTCGCCGCTTTTAGCTCACTGTAAAGCATCCGCCATTACAGTAGTCAAAGACAGATTGAAACTCAAACCCACATTAAATCAACACGTAAACAGCCGTAACTTAACCAACCGAATGCCCTTGATGAACTGCATGGTTCAGAATACCCCAGTGCTGTTTGATTCTTTTCTTTGTCTTTTACAAGAAAACAAAACAAAGTCATATCAAAGATAAGACAAGACACTGAATTATCACATCGAACAGCCTATTATCCCTGTAATAAATGAACCACACAACTTGTGAATAACACAAACCAAGCCGTCAAGTGGTAGGAGGTTTTAATGCATATACAACTGTGGAGGAAACTCAGTTAAATACCCTGCCTGACCATCGAATGCATACAAAGAAGTAGGGCAATTAAAGACGCACACTGAAGGAGCACCCATTGCTGGGATGGGCAGCTGTATGTTAGCTGATGCTGAGCAGCTGGAGGCATATTCCCGGATTGTAGCCTAACGCCGGTTCCAGATGCGCTGAGCCAAAATAAGGGAAAAGGAGGTCCAGATCTCACACTTCCCGAATGAAATCCAGCGCCTGAATTGAAGTAGGCAGAGAGGCCATCCACAGCAGCATATGCAGTGACACACAGACCCCGCCCCTTCCCGTTCAATTCACGCACACACTCTCTCACACATCCCACTAGAAGCTCCCGCACTCACATCCCTGGGTCAAACGCATTGTGGAGATGATGTTGTATATGCTCTTCTTTCGGCAAACACTTTCAATCCCAAATCAACACAGTAAAGTTGCTGTTCCCCCCTCATTTGTTTGATAACACCCCCCCACCCCCCAAATTATCCAATCTTTTCTTGTTTGGTGTTTCAGACCATCCCCGGGCTTCTACTGGACTTGCTCTCTGTGCAGCAAGAGAACAAAAAAAAGAAAACATAGACACATGCAAAATTAGCAAACAGACACTGTATCTGGTCTGCATATCACATTTAAACTGCCTCTGCTGCCACCTCCCACAGCCCTGTTATTTGCCATCTGTTATTTACTAAGAAACACTAATTTTTGCTCCCCGCAACCAGTAGATGGTGCTCTTGTACATATTAAGGGATTTTGAGTCTCCTTCGGGTGGATTCGCGTACGTGGATGTTCTGAGGAGCAGTCGCGTGCAGGTGAGCATGTGAAGGAGCGCTCACATGGTCTCGTAGCTGCTGTCCTTCGCCTTCATAAACTTCATAGCAAAGAAGCCCCCAGCCTGCAGACACAGCACCAGAATAATGCCCCCGATGAAACTGGACAGGTTAAACCTGGCCTGGCTGTACACAACAGTCGGCTGTACGGTGGTATCTGGGGGCGGAAGGAGTTAGACACAATATTTCTGAGTATTTGCAAAGACACATGTCAAGGTTAAAAGAAAAATCAAATTTATACGTAAATTGTTCTCTACTGTCATTGTTAAAGTGACGTATGAATGATTTATGTGACAACTGCTTTTAGCAGTCATAAAATCTAAATTGTCAAGGTGATTCTGAGCCTGTCATAATTGGGTTTTTTGCTGATATACACTTGGCAGGTTTGTTTAGGGCAGTGTTTCCCAATCTGGTCCTCAGCTGGGAGGGAGCAAAAATGTGGACTGCTGGCAGGGAACACGGAGGGAGCAAAAATGTGGACCGGCTATGTGTCCCTGAGGACTGGATTGGGAAACCCTGATTTATTGTGATCTGGTGTGATAAAATATGTACCTACAAAATTGGGCCTGTCGGATGGAAAGAAATGGAAGCTTGTTTATATTTCACTGGTTTTCATTAGCAAATGTGGCTTGGCAACAAGAGACCAATAAGCATGCACGAGGTGGTTACTGGTGACTAAGAAATTGGCTGTAATTGTTCTCATCATTAAGTGGTGCCATAATACCACCGTTAATGTGCATTTTGCAGATATTTCTGTCAAAATTCCTGTTCTGTGTCAATGGTATTTTGGTTGAGAATTGTATCTAGAATTTGATTAGGCAGTTTATGGATAGAAAATGTGAGTGTATTTGTGGTAAAGAGGGTGGGCAAAACGTCTAGGTCCAGCTCACCTGAGACAGAGTTGCTGGGAGTAGATGTGGCAGGGGCTGGAATCAGGCGTGTAAGAGCAAAACGACAGCTGATCACATGGGTGCACATAAGCCCAGGCAGACAAAGAGCATCACTGACTTCCACAACTTCGCCACAAACACGTAGCACAAGTGATCGTAGCATGTTCCTTTTGTGTACATGTATGCATGCGTGAGGGTGCTGCTGATGCACGCGTGTGACTGTTGAGGTGCTGTTCACGTGGTCTTGTATGCTTCTGTCCATCTTCCATGTGTGCGGGCAAAGAGGGGTATGTCTGCCTGTCTTCGAAACTGAGAAGTCACTCACCTGGACACATGGTTGTATCATTGAACATAGAACAGCCGTCTATAGTATCGCTGCTGGTGACACAACCGCTGATGGTGTCTGGAAAGGAGAGAGAGCAGAATCTGGTACAGCTTCGTCACAGACCTGAGGTTTCACGCATCGCTGCCAGCGCGGCACACCTTAAAGCTGTTACATCCGGCTTTGGGTCATGGAATAAAAGGCAGAGCATATTTGCGGGATGAATCAGGTGCAGGATGGAGTTCAAGGCGACTGTATTCTCTGCAAGTACTACGCCCGGACTTTCGGATAGCGACAGAAATGCTACAGAAACGTGTGCTCAAACAGGCATGTGTTAGGGGTCCTTTATAAATGTGAAAAACATAGGCAGGGGCCAATATTTCTGACGCTGTTACTGGGACCAGAATAGAAAGAGAAGCTCTGTAGAATGTTTAAATGTCAGCCACATCAGAGCGCGTCTGTTCTCCATGAAAGGCACACGTACGACTATTTCCCGGTGATGCTGAACATTGTCCAGTGAAGAACAGACATAATTTTTGGGTGTTAATAATTAAACTTACTGCATGTATCCCTCGGGTATCAGAATACAGCTCTTCCACCTGACACCTATTTAACATGGCTCAGTTTTTGCAGGATCAGAAAACAGTGAAACTGAAAACAACTAGTGACCTGATTGGTGCTGCGGGCCGGGGAGGTTGATGTCACATTCGATGTGTCATGGCTTCTGGGCCGTTGCGGATGATCTTTTGCCTACCAGCCAGCTCGCTCTGGGCTGTCTGCCCCACAGCTTTCGCTAGAAGCTTTCGTCTGCTGTGGTGAGGTGTAATGTGGACTCATCATGCAAGTTGCTAAAATGTCATACATCCGTCTGGGACACCAGCAGGCACTCTGGGGCTGGGTGCGGTGACACGATATCCGTCATGATTCTCGTGCGGCTCGGACCCCTGTCCAGCTCCAGCCTGCTGAGGCCTGTCTCTGTTTCAGTCACTAACATCTGGGTTGCCTTAGCAACCAGGTGCACTTCAACGCACTATGAACAAAGACACCGTCGCCTTGGCAACCAGACAAGATAGCAAATCCAGCAGAGTGAAATTCTCCAGGTCCTCTCCATCATGGTCTCCACCTTCTCTGTTTTTCATCCTCTTTTTTTTTTTTTTTTTTTTTTTTTTT